CACCATCACATTATCTCATCCATGATCATAGCTTATCATTTTACTAAATTCAGATCTTCCTTTGAGTCCTTTTATAGAATTATTTTTCCTTCCTGTAGATACTGCTCTGGTGGTATAACCCATATGGAATTGCACAATCAACCCAAAGATGTTGCCCCTCTTGTGGTTCGAATCCACCAGCAGCTATGTGAGGGAGAGATGGACAGTTCCCTCCAGTGCAACTTACAGCCTCTGAAACCCCACTGGAGGGTCAGTTATAAGTCTGTCAGACTTGACAGCAATAGAGCAGTGTAATTCCTCACAATGAATTCCTGGATAGTTTATAGTTCTGGCTGTTTTATAAAATTATCTTATTTTCTATTATAATTTCTAGATAGTTAGATCTTTGATCATGTGAGTGTGACTTACAGATCAATGGCATCAGTACCACTGGGGAACTCATTAGATATCCAGAGTCTCAGGCCCTGACCCGGAACTGCTGAACCACAGTAGTCTGCAGTCTGTCTGTTAAGATCCCTAAGTAATTCTTACACAGGTTTTCTGTATTATGCAAAAGCAGAGTGCTTCCCTGAAACTTTTCATAAGCCAAAATGGCAGCAATTTAAGACCTAACTACCATTCATTGATATCGGGAAAGTTTTAAAGTATTTACCGACCCCCCAAAAATGGCCTACCAAAATCATACCATATAATCTGACATGATACATACACCGAGTGTTCACAGACGTGATTTGAACTCTGGCAGCTTGATGCTGAGATGCTGAGTGTCATGGCCAAGGAAGGAGCTGGTGGCCCCTGCCTCAAGCTCTGGGTGTGCACTGGCTTTTAAAGGGCTTGTTGTAAAATACACATGCTGAGCGCTAGTTTCTTCTTTGCACTTTTTGATAAAAGTGAAAATTTTCTTTAGATTTCTTTCTGTTAGCAAAACCGGGTATTGGTGTAGGATTTTTAAAAATTTGTTGTTTTTCATAAAAATGAAGAACATAAAGTGAACTCTTCAAAATAGTATAAGAAGAATGCTGGTGCCACTGTTTTCTGCTGACAGTTCAGTAAATAAATGATCAGACCCAGTCTCCGATGTTTTCCACCGCATTTCTTTTTCTCTTTTTAAAATTTCTGGGTGGTTTTAAAAAAAATGGCATGATGGATGGAGAGGAGATTGAGACTGTCAACAGTTTTATCTTGATTAGATCCACAATTAACACCCTTGGTACTAGCAGTCAGGAAATGAAACTCATTGCACTGGGAAAATCTGCAGTTATTGAGGAGTAGTGATGTCAGTGTGAGGACTAAGGTACGTCTGATTCAGGCCATCGTCTTTCTGATTACTGGTTATGCATCTTAGAGCTGGACAATGAATAAGAATTACAGAAAAAGAATCAATGCCTTTGAGCTGTGGTATTGGAGAAAAGCACAGAACATTCCATAGACAGTCAAGAGAATGAACAGATATGTCTTGGAGAGGGTGCAGCCAGAGTGCTCTTTGGAGGCAAGAATGATAAGTCTTCACCTCACATACTTTGGACATGTTGCTAGAAGGTGCTATTCCTTGGAGAGGGACATGATGTTGGGAAGGGTTGAGGGTTGGCAATGGAGTAGAAGACCCTCAACTAGGTGGGTTGACACAGTGACTGCTGCAATGTGCTCTTATGTGTCAGGAAGTGTGAGAATGGCACAGGATACAGCAGGGTTCAGATTTTTTTGTTCACAGGGTTACTGGAAGTCATGCTCGACTTGATGGCACCCAGCAACAACAACAATATTTCAAGAAGGCCAATGCTTCATTAGGAGGAATAACCATGGTGAAGAACAAGGAATTAATCGACAGACCATCATTTGGTAGTTTAACAAGCATGTTAGAAAAGGAAAGACCTAAAAGTAAGTTAGGGTGAGATTTGGGGATTTTATATAGTCTCAGAAGAACTGTGAAATACAGTTGTCTCCTGGGCATTGGTTCCAGGTCCCCTGTGGATGCCAAAATGTATGCATATTCAAGTCCTTATATAAAATGGTGCTGTATTTGCATATAACCTGCATATATCATCCTATGTACTTTAAACCATCTCTAGATTACTTACAATAACTAATACAATGTATATGTTAACACAATAATACACTAATACAATATAAATACACTTTATGCTCCCTTTGGGCCTTTGAAGTATTACTTTGACCATTTAATTATTTTTTCCTCTTCTGAATGTTTTTCATCTGCTATTGGCGGAACACTCAGTTGTGGAACTGATGTCAACATATCAGATGACCACTGATATGAAGGGTCAACTGTATGCACATTTCAAATTTAGAATACTTGAACAGGATTCTTTCATAAGTAGCCAAATATTATGCAAAAGTAAGAGAAATGTACACTCTTTAAATTAATTCTATCTCATTCAAAAACATTCATCCTTACCATCCATCCATCCATCCCATCCTTCCATCATCTCCTGTATCCAACCATCTGTGCCATCCTTCTATGCCCACCATTAATCCACTTATCATCTTTACACAGCATCAACCAATCCCACCATCTGTCCACTTATCTTTCCCCCTATCTCCCACAATTCATCCATTCCAACTGTCCATCCATCCATCCATCCATCATTAATCCATATTATCTACTCATCTGCAGACCATCCATCCCTGCCTCCAACCCCATAGTCAGTTCACCTATCCCCACCATATATCTATTCTCTTCCTCCCTCTGTCCCTTCCTCCCTCTATCCATCCATCCATCCATCCATCCATCCATCCATCCATCCACTCATTATTCAGCCTCATCATCAAACTATCCATCATCCATCCATCTCCTGCATTCATCTGTTCATCCTCACCATCTATCCATTCCTATCATCTGACTCAATTTTCTATCCAGTTATCCATCCATTCCTACCTATTTACCCATCCTCACTACCCATCCATCCATCTACTCAGCATCCATTTATCCTTGCACCTATCCTAACCACCCTACCACTGAGCTATCCCTATTCATCTATTCGTCCATCCACCCACTGAGAACCACTGTTGACTTTACTCCACCAGCCACACATTGCTGTGATTCATTCATTCCTGTTATTCACCCATCCCTGACATCCACCCATACCCACCATTCATTGGTCCATCTGTCCATCCATCCCTATCATTTATCTACCCCTAATATCCATCTCATTTATCCATATTCTTGAATGCTTAGAAACTCTTTGCCAGGTAGAAGGAGGGAAACAGGATCCCAGGCATGGAAGCCTCATACAGAAGCATATAATCACAGACTGACAAAAGCCAAAATTTTTAGAAGTCACAAAGTCCACTGCTTTGCCAGTTCTTAGGATCTCTATGAGTTGCAAGTGACTTGACAGCACATAACAACATTGCCAAGAGTATTGATTGTTGACCTGAGCAAGAAGAAATTGTTAACACTCTCAATTTCTTCTCCATCTATTATGATGTTACCAATTGACCAGGTGATGAGAATCTTTGTTTTCTTGATGTTGAGATGCAATCTAAATTGAAAACTGCAGTCCTTGACTTTTTTGCAGCAAACACTTCAGGTCCTCCTCAGTTTTGGTAAGCAAGGTGTGTCATCTCCATAGCACAGATTATTGATGAGTCTTTCTCCAATCCTGATGCCACAATCCTCCTCGTAAAGTCCAGCCTCCTGAATGATTTGTTCTGCACATAGATTAGAAAAGTATGGAGAAAGGACACAACACTGATGCCCTCCTTTCACGATTTTGAACCATGCAGTGTTTTCTTGCTCTGTTCCATGACTGGTTCCTTGTCCAAGTATCTCCTTTTTGTTCTTGATTTATCTTCCTTTGTTAAGGATTGCTCTGAGTTGGAAGTGACTTTTCAGTACTGGTGTGGTTTTTCACTTGCTCTTATCAGCACCCTATTGTTATGTGCTGTCAGGTCACCTGTAACAACTCATAGTGATCCTTTGTATAAAGAGCCCTAAACCCTGCTTTATCCTGTGCCAATTTCACTGTCTCCAACACACCTACCTCCACTACCCCAGTCACTGGATCAATCCATCTCATTGAGGGTCTTCCTCTCCTGTGCTGTCCTTCCACCCTCCCAAGCATGCCATCCCTGTCTCTAGACTGAGGTCAATGCTGTTGCCTTTGTTTGACAGAACAGGTGACTGAGGCTCAGCAGGGGAAGGTTCTTTCCCTGGGTCACAGAGTAGTAGAAGGCTTGGAACTAGTTGTGAAACTGCTTGTTTAACACCAAAGCCTGAGCTACTCAGAGGACGTCCAGCACAATTTGACACTGTTATAGTAACTACCTGAATGCCCTCTGCCTGCATTCTTGGGTGTCTGTGGGGCTGGGAGTGCAGGATGTCCTTGTCTCCACCTGAGAACTGGTCTGCATGCAGCAGTTGGCACATATCCTGATTGCTGGTAAGGGACAGTGGTTCAAAGAGCAGCCTCGCCTCTGAGAACTTACAGAAACTTATGCCTCACCTCCATGGCATGTGAACATCCTGGGTGTCAGCTTGGAGAAGCAGCCTGCCCAACATGGCCCTCCTTCTCTGATTTTCCAGGTAAACTGAAAGAGTCTGATGGGAAGAAGAGAATCCTGAGGAGAGACAAGCAGTCACGGATAGAAGAAGAAATAGACTCCAAGTTGATGGCCGCAGGGAAGCTGGGCGTCTTCTCCACCGAGCTGCCCATCATTTCTCTCCTTGCAGGTAACCAATCCTGACACACAGCAGTGCTGCTCTCTTGTCTCAGGGGCTCAGGTGTCCAAAAGAGGGTGCTCACACTCACAGTAACTGATTCCATTCTCGGGAAAGCTTCAGAGATGCGAGGAGGGTTGTATTTGTCTGTTTTTACAGAGGAAGGAGCGGAGGCACAGAGAGGGTAGATAAATTGTACAAGATCACACAACTAGTAAGTAGAAAGCTAAGACTGGAACCCAGATCTGTCTGACTCCACAGTCCAATGAAACCTTTGAGAATAACAAATGTCATAATTCTGTTTTCTGAATAAGATGCTGATTTTTATAAATACATATTTTTATGTATACAAATTCATAAATCCAGATTTTTACAAAGATAGCTTGAGAAAGGGAACCAGTTTGCAGTGAGCATCTGGTAGAAGCCAGGCATTGTTGTTGTTATGTGCCATAGAGTCACCTGAGGCTCATAGCGACCCTATGTACAACAGCCCTAAACTCTGCTCTGTCCTCTGCAATCTCACTGTCTTGTACACTCCCACCCCGATTACCCCAGTCACTGAACCAACTCACCTCATAGAGGGTCTTCCCCTCCTGAGCTGTCCCTCCACCCTCCCAAGCATGATGTCCCTCTCCAAGGACTGGTCCCTCCTTGCAGCATGTCCAAAGTATGTCAGATGAAGCCTCAGAATCCTTGCCTCCAAGGAGCAGCCCAGTTTAACCCTCTCTAGGATGAACCTCTTTATTTTCTTATCAGTTCATGGTATATTCAATACTCTTCTGCAGCACTACAGCTCATAGGCATCAATTCTCCTTCTGTCCTCCCTAGTCAATGTCCAACTCTCTGAAGTATAACAAGTGTTTGCAAAGACCATGGCCTGTATCAGGTGCACCATAGTCTCTAGAGTGACAGTATTGATCCAGGCACTGTACTTACACTATATAATTTGTTATTGTTGTTGTTGTTGTTGTTGTTATTGTTGTTGTTATATACTGTTGAGTGGACTATGACTCATGGTGACCCATCAAACTCTGGTCTTCCCATGTTCCGTAAGGCTGGGGTGAGGTCGGCCAGGGGTAGGGTGGAAAGAAGAATGTGAGAGAAATGGCCATCATTTTTTCAGCGACAAAACACTCAGAGAAGTCCAGTGACTTTCTCAAGACTGCACAGTTCAGTGACAAAAAGGAAGTCTGATTCTTTTGCAATATAAGATCTATGATTTAAATAGTATATTTCTTGTGTTTTGTTAAGTAATTGCTATTCTGTGTATTTTTATAATGGAAAGCATAGGAATTTTTTTCAACATTAGATATGACTGTTTTAAAAAGAATAAAATTTTTTAAAGCATCACTTTTTAAGATTTTTATTTTATATTCGTTTGCTTACAAGGTTCATATACATTGTTTTTCAAATTTTTTTTTAATTATTACTTTGTGTGTGTGTACCATCAAATTGGATCTGACTGGTACAGGAGGAGATTGCCCCTCCTTCTCCAGCAGAGCTTCTGGTGGATTTGAACCACTTGCTTCTGGGATTGCAGTGCAGTTTCTTGCCTCTAGGCCACCAGAGCTCCCTAAAGTCCATATACAATGTGTTTCACACAATCCTTCATTCACATTGTGTTTCATACGATAATTCCCCTTCATTATGTTTTATAAAATTAATCATCATTGAACTATGCCCACCATTACCCTGTCTTTCAAATCCCTGTTGGATCTTTCCCAGTTTCCTTTACCAAGCCCTCCTTCCACCCACCAAATTGAACAATCATATGATTTCCCCTCTGCCCACCTTCACCCCTCAGCCTGCCCCCTTGAATCCTCATATACATTTTACTAGTTATCTTTCTATTTCTACAATAATAATCTTATGCAGTATTTGTTCTTATGAGACTGAGTTAGTTCACTCAGCATAATGCTCTCCAGTCCTTCCCAAGTTAAGTAAAAATTTTCAAAATAGAATTGCTCCTAAGTGCTGTGTAGTATTCCATTGTGTGACTACATCACAATTTCTCAATCCATTCAATTGTGGTTGGACATTTGAACTGTTTCAATGTTCTTGTGATGGTGAATAATGCTATTATAAACATTGGTGTACAGATCTCCAGTTGTGTCTCACTTCTAATTTTCTTGGGGTCTATCTTTAGCAGTGGAACAGGTAGGTCATACGGAATTTCTATGTTCAGCTTTTTGAGGAAATATCAAACTGACTTCCAGAGTGGTAAACTGTCTCAGCTGGCTTTGCTTGGCTGTTCCCAGCAGAGTGAAGCCCGGGCTGGAGTCTTCCAATTCACCAGCCTGAGCTGTGCTGGCTGCGTAATGCACCAGTTCACGCAGGGGCCTTGGTGACGGCCTGGCTTTGCATCCTGGCTTAGCCAGTTAGCAGCAAATTCCCTGCATTCTCTAGATCGCAGTTTTCTTATGTGTAAACGGGGGTGATAACTCAGAGGTTTATTGTAAGGATCACATGAGACTTTTTAGCATAAAAACTTTGCATACATGGAGGGATTGAGAGGTAGCTGGTTGGACATAGCCCTACTTCTGCCAGGACATTTGGGTGGCCCAGATGCAGGGCACTGGGATTCCAACAGAGAGAGAAACCACCTCCTTTATGTTGATGTTGTAATGTGTCCTAGGGTCAGAAGTGAATCATAACTGACCCTGTAATGGGATTTCAGAGACTGTAAGTCACATGGGAGGAGATTTTTTTTTCCTATCTGTAGAACAGCTGGTGGATTCGAACCACCTCCCTTTGGGTTGGCAGCAAAACTTCTTATCCACTAGACCACCAGAGCGCCCCTCCCTTTTATATAGCAAACACAATTTAATGTTAAAAGCCAGGAGTGACTTCAGCATAGTGGCCAAGTAATTTTATGTTCATTCTTAGCATTAAAATTGTCAACATCAAGTATCTATAATAAAATATAATCATCTTATTTTATAATCACCTCAGTTTCAAATCAGAACATAGATCTTGTATACACTGTTGTTGGTGGCCAGTAAAATTCAAGGAAGATTGTGTGTTTCAAGTGCCTCTTGTTTTGAAAGAAGATAGTATTGCATAACAGAGGGACCAGCTTGGCCAAGCAGGATCCGTTTGAATTCAGCTTCCACAGCTTATTATCCAAAAGATCTTCAGTGATAACTTAGTATCACTGAGGCTCTGTTTTGCCTGCAGCACAGATGATAGCAATGACATGGGGCCTTGAGGATTGGTAACAGTGTTGCATGCGAGGCTCTGGCAATGATTTATCAGGTTCTCTTCCCTCTATCATTTTGCCTTACTCTTCAGGTAAATGGAAAACCTGTTGCCAATGATTCACAGGACCGGGTAGGAGAGAGTAGAACTGTCTCACGACGTTTCCAAGAGGCTGTCGATCCAGAGGCTTTGCCCCCAGGGAACAGTTGGTACATGTTACAGCATTTCTGATTGTCACACCTAGTGGAGAGGATGCTGCTGGTATCTAGTGGGTAGAGCACCAAGAAGCCATTGAGCATCCCATAATATCCAGCGGTGCTTACAAGAGAGAAATGATCTGTTTCCCAGCACGCAGCAGTGCTGAGGTGCAGGACCCTCTCTGGAGTCAGGGTAACAACGTTAGCATGCGTTTACATTGGGGGTTTCCTCTGATGTGGACAGTCTTATATATGAAAAGGCTTGCAAAGTTATAAAAATAACATTCTCATTCTCTCTGGCCTTCACAAGGCCATTTTGTGGAAGTGCATGAGAACAGTGAGTCTATGGGATCCCCCCTTACCCCTTGTGTCCAGCCTGCCCACGTGTCTGCTGCATACACTAGGCTATGAGTGGTTTTGAAAGTGACCTCACTTTCTAAGTGTGAGCAGTGTGGCTTTAAAACAGTCTGGAAATATATTTGCAAACTTTTTTTAAAAATTATTCATTTTAATGAAAGTTTACAGGGATTTTGGATTTCAATTCATTCATTTTTGCACTTTTCTCCCTGTCCAACCTCCCCCACAGTTCACACTTCTCTCTTGAAAAGTAAAAGAAAAATTCTTTCATTGTTATACAATCCCTCCCCCCTACCCAGGCCCACTCCACTGTGCAACCTTCCTTCTGGACTCCTGTCATGACAAAAATACCTAATCATATATCCCTTTTAAAGTTCTCTCCCTCATCTGTTTCAAATTTGCAAATGTTTTGCAAGGAATAGAACTGGTCCTTTAAATTTTCTGCTGGGCAGTGTGTCTCCAGCATCTTCCTGTACAGAATCTCTTCTAAAATGCAAGGAAGGTGGTATCTTCCTTAATTTGCAGATAAGGAAAATGAGCCACAAAGAAACTCTAACTTGTGGGTCACATGGGATTTGAACTTAGAACCTAGATCCTTCTGCCTTCAAGATTTGAACTTTCTTCCCTCCTTCCCCACACACTGGTATCTAACAATATCTAACTAATGAAATGTATGGCCCCCTTTGCAGGAAAGAACATCCTCAAAGCTGTTCTTGTGCTAGGCAGTGGCTCGATTTGCCCACCCTTTTCTTTTTGTTCCTTTATTGCAAAACCACTATAGCAGGTTAGTTTTATAATATGCCACCACTTGGCTTATATTTTGTTCAAATGAGCCATTTAACCTGATAATGTTCTACATCAGTTTCACTGCTTCCCTCCTTAAGCCACCACAGCTGAAGCACTGGACACCAAACGTAGACATTGGGTTGGGTGGTTTGCTTCTTTTCTTGGTGGTTTTCTGTACTGAAATGACTGTCTCAAGCACCACTGTCCAATGCAACTTTATACAGTGATGGAGATAATAATCTATCTGTGTTAGCCAGTGCAGCAACTCAGCTACACGTGGCTGTTGGACATTTGCGTTGTGACTGGTGCAAGAGAGGAAGTGAATTTTAAATTGTTATTTTCATTTCTCTGGTGACCTAGTGTTAAGAAGCTGCACACTGCAATCCCAAAGGCATGTGGTTCAAATCCACCAGTTACTCCACAGGAGAATGATGGGCAGTGTCCTTCTGTGGGCTTTACTGCCTGTGAAAACCCACTGGAGAGTCGGCTCTGGATCAATTCTGACTCCACAGCACTCCACCACAACCAAGTCACATACGAGGAATAGTTACTGCATTGTATGACTTGGGTCTAAACTGGTGATGCCAGAATACCTGGAGAGTGGTAAAACAGTCAGTGTCCAGACCACATCCCAGGGTCACTTTGGAGTGCAGCAAGCAAGATTTGTTATTGACTTATTTATTATTACATTGTAGATGATTGAGGAGACAAATCACCTCTTAAAAGATGATTATAAAATTTTATCTCACAAAGGGTAACTTACAGGATTTGTTAGGACCTTAGATTGAAAAATGCAAGTGAATAGCATGCCATCTAAACACTTCTCCCAATTCATTCCCCCGCCCCCCTTTGTTTCCTCCTCTTTTCCTAATTTTCTCACTGGTCCCTCTCAGGCTCCTTGACCACTTGGAGCTTGCCTTGGGGCTGTCCTGAAACAGGGTCTAATAATGCTGTAGGTGTTTCCCCCACAGGATGGCAGACTGTTGTGAGCCGTAGCAGTGAAAGCACTGCCAGCGTTTTAGATTGTTTTCTGACGTTAGAAACAGAAATGCCCATCATGAATGAGGAGCAAAAGCAGGAATTAAACCCCATGACCATAAAGATCAAGTGCGCATCCTACCTTCCATCAGAGCCCGTGTCCTTTTCGGAACTAGAGGTAAGAATGAGCCAAAAGAAACCCCTCTTGTTCCAGATTGTTTACATACATATAATGCCTACTCATATATTCCTTTCAGACAGTTCTCTCCCTCATCTGTTCCAATGCCATGTTCATTATCTATCCACTCTTTTCCTATTGCCACAAACACCCTATGTCAATCAGTCCTTATTACAACAGTATAATGCAGTATTTGTCCTTTTGTGACTTAGATATTTCACTCAGCATAATGTCTTTCAGGCTCATCCATATTGTATAATGTTCCAGCAATTTATTATTTTTTTAACGCTGTGTAATTTTCATTGCTTTCTCTAAAAGTTGGAAATAGAAATACCATTTGACCCCACAATCACACTACTGGGAATGTACCCTGAAGAAACCAGAGCCTAGACTTGAACAGATGTATGCGCATCCATGTTTATTGCTGCATTATTTACAATAGCAAAGAGATGAAGGCAACTCAGGTACCCATCAACAAATGAATGGATAGAAAAACTATGGTACATTCACACCATTGTCTATCTGATTTTGCTAAAAGGAGCTTTTCTCCTGAGCTGTTTAGGGATTTTGAATTTTTTTCTTTAACTATTACAAAACGGAAAAGTTTTTATAAACAGATTGACCACATAGATTTTAATTATGACAAAACAGACAGATGTGTACACATTTATAGTCCCGCTAAAGATATGGAGATCATTTGCAACTATTTAGTTTATTCTTGATTTATTTGTGAATATTAGAGATTGTTCTCAATAGTTTAATTTATAGTCTGTTTTCTTTGGAGGCCAGATTTTACTTATAATTAAAGGAAATGCAATACAAACATTTTGCAGCAATATTTTTTAGCACATTTACTCGAGATTCCCTATAAACCAGTAATAGGCAAATCCATTTAATATTTGGATATGTAACAAACACAATTATTTTGTTGTGTAATAGTCATTAACACTCACTGGTCAATGATAAGGTTTAAAGGTAATTTTATATATCATCATGAGAACAGAGACTGTTTTGGGATTTTTATTATGA